TTCGGTGTTGCTGCCCTCAATCCGACGCCGAAGATGCCAAAGAGGAGGCTAACACATAACATGGCCCGAAAAGGTTTACCAATACATGGAATTAGTTCTTAGACCTTCCATTGCGGTCTGTCGCTGAAGGAGGAAACGGGTCGTTTTCCAAATCCGCTACCGAAGATCGTTGTGTGGGACGAGGTACAGTCTACAACAAAGTCGAGAATAAATAGAGCAGACACGATTAAAAATGTAATAAAACAAAACCGGTTTGAACATTTCCTATGAACAGGGGAGGGGGGGGGACGCTACATATAAATACGCTTGCCTTGTTTTGTTTGATCGGTTCTGCTTTACAAATGGAGACCCGATTGTTTTTCACTAAAACCCATAAAATAATGTTAGTATCGTGATTTTCTATCTCGGCCGGTTAGGTAGAATAGTTGTCTGCTCGGGCCCGACTGCCTAGTTCCGTTTTTTGCATGCCTTGCGAAAGTAGAGTAGATATTGACCTTTTCTGCTGTCGATACAGCACCTGTCGCCCAACCTAAGTTCTTATATTTAGTGGTTAGAGGCCCTAAGCTATATAATCTCTAAAGCACTAACGAAATTGTATATCTCCCGATAGTTCTCATGACACTTTCAGACCTCCGGTTTGGGGTAGGAATAAATCGTAGAGCCGTCCTATGACAAAACTCCCCCCAGCCGAAATGTGTGACGAAATTCGTAGATAAAGGATTGATGCTTGATTAAAGAGTAGGAAATTAAGTGAAGCCTCTTTTAATCGTTTTACTGAAAAGCACGCGAAAAGGACAAAAAAACACTAATATAAACTTTTATTGGTCAACAAAGGAAGCCCATAGACCAAACAGTTATAAGAACATTCCTATTGGTTAACGACGCAAGCCTATAGAGCAATAACACAATTAAACCAACTCGTATCACCATTAGGCGGCCCCAATATTTATTTCTACCCGGTCCATTTTGGATACCTGACCGGTACGTACTGCCTTTAACATGCCAGTCGGTTTATTCTATTGTTTTGCTCCAATATGACCAACAGGTCAGTTGAACACGGATGAACTGGTTGCTGAGGTGGAGAAACGCAATCGTCTAAAGTTACTACTGCCCTGGCTGGAAGCGCGGATCCACGAAGGCTCTGTGGAACCGGCTACGCACAATGCACTGGCAAAGATCTACATCGATGCCAACAACAACCCCGAACGCTTCCTCAAAGAGAATCAATACTACGACAGTCTTGTTGTCGGAAAATACTGTGAACGGCGTGATCCACATCTGGCTTGTGTTGCCTACGAACGTGGCCAATGTGACAAAGAGTTGATAAATGTAATTCCATTTTCCCGTCTCTAGTCGCTATTAAGGGTGTTTACTTCACGAGCCTAGTATTTTAGTCTAATTCACTCAGAGATCTGAGGAAATTCACTCTTCAGGCTGTGGGGTGAAGTCCGACTACTGAATAGCAACTCGGCACTACTGGCAGTCCTGAACCATTTTTTGCATGTACAGAGCCGATATCTGTTATTTGTTTGTCGTCGCCACTATCATTGCAAGTTGGTACTGTCGACACCTGGCATGCTGCCTGAGATGCTTACTTTTAGTCCACACTGACCAGTGTCCACCGGAAGCAAGAGGATGGAACCGGTTGTGGTCCTTGGTCTGCCGTTCTTAACCTTGTCTTTGTATGTTCGCTCGCCTCTTCACAGGTGCTGGCTCGCTCGGCTAACACCCCATAAGCAGCTGAACGAATGGATGCGCATCTGGGTAACCTCAGGGACGCAGTTTGTCTCTTTGGTTCGAGAGCACTCAGCCTGTTTAATTTATAGGTGGCTTCTGAAGTCCGACAAGCAACACGATTTATATGCCTTGTGATTAGCCTACGTTATAATTAGGTATATTTAGGGTAGTAGGCAATAAATAACTGAAGAAAGGTAATTTCGTCAGAGACCAAAAGAGGAGGTGCGCGCTAAGGTTGCTCTTTGCTGTCACAACACACCGAGAGGAATCCATCCACTATAGTGATATATTCTACCGTTTCCGGAAGACTTATTTTTCCTCCCTCAGATTTGCTCGAACCTCTAAGGTGATCGACCGATACTGCTTATTTGTTTAGAATGAGTACTTGGTTTATTTTAGACATTTTTCTGTTGTCAACACAGTCTTAAGCATAAATTCTTAACTTTCCCCCCCCCCTGCAGGTTTGCAACGAAAATTCGCTCTTCAAGACTGAAGCCCGCTACCTGGTTCGTCGGAAAGATCCCGAATTGTGGGCGCAGACATTGGACGAATCGAATACCTATCGGCGCCAGCTGATCGACCAGGTCGTTCAGACTGCCCTCTCTGAGACCCAAGATCCCGAGGAGATCACGGTTGCAGTTAAGGCCTTCATGTCTGCTGAGATGCCTAACGAGTTAATTGAACTGTTGGAAAAGATCGTGATGGACAATTCAGTCTTCTCGGACCACCGAAACCTTCAGAACTTACTTATCTTGACGGCCATCAAGGCAGATAATAGTCGGGTAATGGAGTATATCACAAAGTTGGACAACTATGACGCCCCAGATGTGGCCAATATTGCAATCACTAACGGCCTTTATGAGGAAGCATTTGCCATCTTCAAGAAATTTGAAGTCAATAATCAGGCTATGCAGGTACGTCGTTTTTTTCATTCCGTTTACATTTCGGTAATGCAGTATAATCTTACCTAAAACTAGAGTCGAGTCTTTAGCTAAAACATCCTTTTCGATAATCGGCCAAGATGTCTTTCCATCCCCAATCGCTTTGCCACCAGACACCATTTATGCTCATCGGATAAGCTTTTGTAGACATTTGTTTCACAAAGATTTAAAATACCCTTTGACAACGCTCGCGCGCAGCTACTATTCTCAACTAGAGTGTTTGTTTCATGTGCATTTTTTCAATTTGTGATTAGTTTTTCTGCGATTGGCGTTAACTACAGGCCTTGTAGTGCGCTCCCGTGGAAGCCAGTTGTGAAATATCAGTGCGCGAAAAACCAGAAACACGAGATATTTCCTTAGGGATTGCGGCCCTGTGTGCGGCTACGTATCTTTCTGAGCTATGCTACATAGGCAGTATTTGCCGTCACAATTTTTTCTCCCCTACATACATGCACGCGCACACGGTGTTGTTACAAAAGTGTATTTCCTTACGTACGCATCTATTCCATATTTTATTTGTGGTTCGTGTAAATCGGACACCTTTTGTCAACCAAACTTGAATCTAGTTGTCCGGAAGGCCTGTTAATGGTGCATTAGGGATTATCAATTCGCGAAGTAGTTGGGAAACCTAGCACTCGCCTCTCCTTAATGATTCTTCTGCCCGTAATTTCTGGTTATCTGACTGATATATCGGTCACCCATGTCGACTTGGTGAACTTCTCATCAAAAAACAGCAACTCATCGCCGCCGCACGTAAAACACACCCTGGGGTCTGCTGCAGAGTGGGATCGCAACAGATGTTTGTATAGTTCCATGCGTTTGAAAACCTAGTCTTCCAGTTATTGTGCTGTTGATGGTCCATACTAAAGTTGAATTTTAGATGGATTTTATCGTAGTAGATATACACTCAATTTCTTTTCAAAGTCAGCACTCATGGCCAACTGCAGTTTGCCAACTCCAGGTAATGCGCCGAGTCGACTTTGCCTGACGGACACAGTTGTTTGTTACGAACGTACTTTTGTGAAACGTGTGTGGTTATGCATATTCGTATATTTTTTGAAAAAAAGCTATTGTTCACTCCTGACTAGTGCAAGCTTCATTGAATTAACCCCCTTTATCTCTACTGAGTCTGGTTAGCTCAAAGTTTGCATATAAAGCATTTGTGTGCGCCGTGCCGAATCCAGGGGCTTTTTAGCTTGACCCCAACCAACTGATGAGCGTTCACTCAATCTCACGTATGAGCTGCTTGTAATTTTCTTTTCTACCAACAGTCAGACTGGCGAGTCTGTTGACAATGACCTGCGAAGCAAGGCTAGCTCGTTTTCGTCCCCTCTTGCTAATTTCACTAAAGGAAACTCGTTGGGAATCAGAAATCCACTTTTCAGGCCAGGCTGTATTTTTCCTCTCTATTCGCCTCCTCCAGGTCCTGATCGACCACATCAAAAATCTCGATCGAGCCTACGAATACGCCGAGCGTTGCAATGAGCCCACCGTCTGGAGTCTACTTGCCAAGGCTCAGCTTCAGAAGGGCATGGTAAAGGACTCAATCGACTCTTACGTCAAGGCTGGCGATCCGGCTAACTATGAGGAAGTAATCAAGACGGCGTCGGAGGCACACAACTTCGAAGATCTAGTTCGATACCTCCAGATGGCGCGCAAGAAGGCTCGTGAGACGGTTATCGATTCGGAGCTGGCCTTCGCCTTCGCCAAGACCAACCGTCTCTCCGATCTGGAGGAGTTCCTTGCCAGTACGAATCACGCTAACATAACCGCTGTAAGTGCCATGCAACCCTACTCATGATTTCGAAGTTGGCGTTAACTTCTTAGACCACGAGGACAGCTTTCCGCTTAGGTGTTTTGCCGTCTCATATGCGCCATTATTTCATTCCTTCTAATCATCAGCCCTCCAAAATGTTGGCCATTCGTTCCGGTATTATCTCTACTGCTACTTACAGTGGACGATGTAACCCATGTAAAATACCCAAATTTGCGAGATGCTAATAATCACTCACGAACCGGCATTAACACATGGACGAAACCTTTCAGGTATATTTTCTACTGAAAATGGGAAATCAGTTTTACGTTTATATTAGAGCATTTTTCGCTATACTTTTCGGCTTTGTTCTAAGATCGCGAATGCACAGAGGACTAGCCAAATGTGCACTAAGATTTTGTGAAAATTGTTTAGCTTCTGTTCATTTTCTAAACTAAATAAAAGCGGAAACGGTGTCTTACAGCGTGCTTCAACTTTAACAGTTTGTTGTGGGCGTCTACTTCCACGCCAAAATTTTGTCTTCGATCCCAGTTATCAGTGTGGTAAAACAACATACAGTCAAACAAGTTTATATTTAAAGCATAATTTCCCTGGTGAGAACTTTAAGATAGTAAATAATGCAAAATTTAATGGATCCATAACATTTCGGGAGTGTTCATCAGTTGCATCCACTCCAATGCGTTGAAGGGTAACGAATGAGAAAAATACGAAATTGAATTGGTACAGAAAGGTCATAGGTCATTGTCACTTTCTCCTGTTTCTCCTTCCACTTTGTTTTAACTTTCTTTCTTTACTAATTGGCCTTAGTGACTATGACCTGTGACCTTTCTTTACCAATTCAATTTTGTATTTTTCTCATTCGTTACCCTTCAATGCATTGGAGTGGATGCAACTGATGAGCACTCCCGAAATGTTATGGATCCATTAAATTTTGCATTAATTATTATCTCCAAACAAGTTTATTACCGCGATTTGTAGCGAAAAACTTCAGAAGTTGTCAAAAAATCATTTTCAAGCTGAATTTGTTCCGTGCTTCTGGAAAAAATAACGCAATTCCCCACACCTGCCTTCACACGATTTTCATGGATTTAAGATCGACTCTTCCGGTTCCAGAAAACCTTTGCTCCTTGTATTTTAATAGCAGAACACACAATACTAAGAAATTTTGCTCCGTCATGTTATCACATTAAATTTATTGGATACCCGACGATCTCCGAGTTCGCTCAATTCCTGTCTGTTTACCGTCAATTTAAAAAATTGAACATGCTGTTTTCTTTTGTAAAGGGCTTTCTAAACCTCACTTCTATTCAAAAATCAAAATAACGACACCAAATGTATACTGACCTACACACTCGCTTTTCAATCACGACATTTTATAAGTTAGATCATCTATTGTATGATTTTTTCTTGCAGGTTGCAGACCGCTGTTTCGATGAGCGTATGTTTGAGGCCGCCAAAATCCTGTATAACAATGTCAGCAATTACTCCCGCCTGGCTATCACTTTGGTTCACCTGGGTGAATATCAAGGTTCCGTCGAGGCTGCTCGCAAAGCCAATTCCACCCGCACTTGGAAGGAAGTTTGCTTTGCCTGTGTCGAACAGGGCGAGTTCCGTCTTGCCCA